AGGACACGCCATCTCACCAGTGCTCTTCACCGCGGCCTTGAGTGACTTAGAAACCACATGAACTGGTGCAAGACGTCAATATCGATCGAGAGCAGCTAAGGGACGCGGTATTTGGGAACGACCGTATCGTCTTCCTATTAGATACGATGGAGCACAGACATAAGATCCTGCACTTAAAAACAGATTCTTTTGCCCTTGAATTGCATGTTACCCTCTGCAAGTCGAAATGATTGTTCAGCGAGCGCTGCCTCGAGAGTTTTGCCTATGCAATTGTTGAAGAACTCGAATAAGTTACCGGCTGTGTGTACTTCTACCGTCATGTAGACCGCATGAACTCGCTAGAGAAGAAAATCAGCAGAAGGAGGAAAACAGCATGGACGAGATTTAATCGTATTAAGATATCAGCTTTTCACAGTGAGCTGCCCACGTGGTTTCGCTTGGACCCCTATCGTTGGGACGGTCGTCTATGAAAATAGTTGTTGAATCGATAGGTAAATTATTTTGTCAACGGATGAAGCAGAAAACGGAAAATATAGAATATTGGAGGAGTGTTGAGTTGCGTTCATGATGCACTTATAACGAGAACAAGTCGGAAAACCGACAACAAATGACTATCCCTCCACGAAACGATTTTGTTTAGAAGCTAAGCTTTATTAGAACAGAAGGTTGAGACCTTTTTGACAAAAAAAGCTAATAGCAGCAGAGGTGGCCTTGTCAGTACAATAAACTCGATTTTCGTTGCCATGGATGTCAATTCGAGACCATGCTTCTGTCTTTTCTGTCTGTCAGTCTTGTTGATAAGGAGCAAAAGCGATCAGCGTGGCTTTGTATTGGGGCTGCAGCGTCCATTAGCTTTCTTATAGACTTTAAAACTTGACTATCGTCCATCAGGTCTACAGTAGGCATCATGGCAACGCACAATATACACGGATACACTGATCGGTAAAGTAGTTCGTGACAACCAGTTATTGAAAATTAAATGTTAAATTGAGGTGAGGTCCTCATCAGAAAATTTGTCTCGTCTTTACACATATTAAGGTTAAGAAGGGAAGTAGTGCGACACAACTGTCGCACTCACAGCTGAAAATTAGCCTTGAGCAATTGCGAAAAAAATCGTCTCTCGTTGCGCAGAATTCATACCCTGCATACGAGGGCAACGCCACGCGACTCGTTAAGGGTGCATGGATGTTATATGCAAGATACATAAACTTTGCATTAATTGCAGATGAACAACATTGTAGAATGAGAAAAAAACGTTTAAAGGATATCTATTCAGAATAGGTGAATTAGCAAAAAAGGCAAAGAAAAACGTTCATAAACAGAGAATGATATTTATGGAAAAAATAGGAATGTGAAAGGACGTACTATGTGTTACTTTTAGTGATAGAAGAAAACATAAATTCGTCGATCACGCGAGTGGTAGCAGTGATGACTGGAGGGAAAACGAAAAGACAGGCGAAAAGTTCAGACTTAAGCAGCCAAAGCTTTGTCAGAACTGATTTCAGTACATTTTGCAACAGTAAGCCAGTTTAGAAAAGACATATGGGCTCTTAGATTGATAGATTAAAGTAAGACACGGTTGGAAACCTGGAATAAAAGGTAGGCCAGTTTCATTTCTGTATTCAACGAGATTTACCAGGCAGTAAGGAAGAAGAAGTTTTTTTGGCCCTCTTAACAAAAATATCCAAGCGAGATCATGTAAGTAGATACTGAATTTTAAAATTTTTAGGTTTATTTACAGTTTTAAAGAGATTAAATTAAATTCTTTATGCGGACTGAAAGTTTTTTATCAGCAAAATATTCAAAAGGTTTACTCCACATGATAATGCTACTTAAAAGATCTAACATGTAGGATCAGAATGAATCGATGATCAGGCAAATTATGGAACAACAAGTGCAAAAACAACAATGAACAGTGGACATTATTGATATTGTCTCTGCACTTGTCATTTCACAATGTCCAATGAAGATGGATCTACACAGTCAATTGTGCTAGAATTTTGTTTAATATGCTTTACAAGAGCGGTAAAATCTTTGATGACTTTGGTGATGAACAAATATCCTAACATATATCTGACTATTTTATGAGAGTATGACAGCATGTTCATGGCAGCTTCACATATTGGAAAAGGTTCAGTATGTGGTGATTTGGCTGAAGATGCAAACAGCATGAAAGGAATGTGGTTTGGATGGTCACCTAATGTTAGCCAGCAAATCCTCATGCGGCTGGTTAGAGGTATGTGTCAGGATTAAAGAAAAAGAAGCAGTGCCCTTCAAATTGCGGGTTGGTTTCCGTTAAGGAGACGCGTTATCCCCTCTGTTCATAATTTAAACGGCTAGAATCGGCAAACGCTGCCAGCGTGCATCACAGTAGCATATATTCATCATAGTTGCATTTAGTTTTCGATACGGTCAGGAAGAGATATTCTAAGCCTCATCCTCGACTTCTGCAACACACGAGGCAAGTCAATACTCAACGCAACATGGCTTTTTTGGGCAAAGGAGAAGGACAGAGGAGTATAGGCGGAGTCAGGTTTATGGTCGGTGAACAGGAAGTGGTATGTATGGTTCCTTTTTTGTCGCTCTAGTTCTTCGTGAGTCGGTATACTCTTTCTACGGTTGGATTTCAACAAATCCCTTAAAATCGTTCAAGTCTACGCCAGCGATGACGATGAGGTTGAAGAATTCTATGTAGAACTCGAATCAGCTATCACCATCAAGTCTACCTATACAGTAGTGATGGGCGACTTCAACACAAAACTTGGTCGAGGGGGGAAAGCCGGGGAGAAGCACATTTGCACGTTTGGTGTATGAAAACGAAGTAACAGGGGTGATAGAATGGTAGCGATGACAGAGGCCAACACACTGTCAGTCAGTAACCCCTGGTTCCGGAAGAAAATGGGGCGGAGATGGACATAGATTACACCAAACGCAGTTTCAAAAAATGAAATCGACTTTATTTTGGTCGATACTCCGCGCACTTTGAAGGAGGTAGTACCATCGTTCAACACAGGAAGCGATCAAATCATACCGTGGGCATATATATAATATATTTAATTCTAGCTGTCGATCGAATGATTAAAATTAGGCTGATCAAAGCCGAGGCTTTTGAACTTACGAACAATGTCGCTTTGTGTGTTCCGCAGAGCAGGCAAAGAAATTCCATTGTATTTTTGAGTAGCATGTAGGCGGATTGTTCAGGCATGCGTTGTAATTCGGAGGTTAAACCGATCCGGGATGACGAAGAAGCAGCTGTGGAGCAATGGTCTATCTATCTTCAAGCCTGTATAGACATCCACTTTCACTGATAGTCATGATTACTAGATAGTGATCACAAAGATACGATTCTGGATAGAAGAGGGGCAAAATGAGGTTTCTTCGAAGATCGCTGGTGATAAGATGCTTGACAGGCTTTAGAAAAGGGTAAACTAAGATTTCGCTGCCTTCTTCAAATCAAGGCATCACAACTGCATCAGCATAAACATCAGAAAAGTGATAAAGCTGGCAGAGGTTAGGTGGTAAAATGGATCTTCGAATGCTATGTGATGCATGACTAGCGGCACACAGTGATAAGATGAGTCGGAGATACTTAATAACTTGCATTGTATTGGTGTTGAATCTAGTTATCAGAGCTTGCTAAATAGGTTGACGAAGAAATCCTTTGGAATTCCGTCCCGAAGCTCTGTCAGTGCAACCTGAAACGACGTGCCGGTATTGGAAATTGACGAATAGATGTGATTACTTAATTATAAGAAAGTTATAAACGGTAGTCTCAATTAAGCAATAGCATAATTAAAATTTATATATAATCATCAAGATACCTGCGGATATTTTTGAAGTAGTACGTACTACAGATTGATAGATATTTGACTCTTTGTTTATGCAAATTTAGCCCACAGGAAAGTGTACAGGGACTATCACTCTGATTTCTTTCAAAAATCAAATTGTTTTACGCACGATGTAACTGTGACCTAGTTTCTAAAGATGAACCCAGTATGACGCAAAATGTCGGAAAGCAAGTTAGCAATGTCGGAACAAGCCTTTGAGACCAGTGCAGCCATTTCCACCAGTGTGGTACGTGGACCTCTGGGCCACTGACCAAATGGCCTCAAGCAATTGCATCGACTCATTCAGAGCACATCTTCAAACTCTAGCTGCTGATCCCTGTCCGAGAAGCGGGGACCAATGCGGAGGCTAGTTGTTGCGGGTGGATTTAGCACATGGGCGGTTGACTCTCCAGCCTTATCGAAAAAGGCAAAGGGAAACTTCTTGCATGAGGGACAAATTGCATCAGTGTACAAGCGTTTAAGGAAGTAGGGGAACAATGTAATCAAAAGGCTTGCTACTGGGTGATATCAAAATACCTGCTGCAGCTATGAACAATACGAGAGAATAAAAAACGTAAACCCGGTCAAAACTAGCACCCCTAAAAGGCTAAAAACCCGCATAAAGTAAATACTTATTGCTTCTAAATTATTATTAGAAGTATTAGTATTTCTGAAACCACAGAAAAATAAAATTAACAATTGATCAAGAGTTTAGCTGCGAACCAATAAGAGAAAAATCATAATTTCAAATCAAATGACGTCGAGAAAAAGACATCCAAGACATTCCTTGCTCATCAAACAAAACGTACAGAAACATGTTTCATTAATAAAGCTACCGCTACCCTCGATTGCCTTCGGTTTACCCAGGTGTTGCTTTTTAGACATCAACGCCCGTTTGCATGGTGCCAATTCTTGCTTCTGAAGATCGCACTGCTTATTCCAGACGTCAAGAGTATATCCTGAAAATATCATGTTTCAGTTTATTTTCATAATATTTATTTTAGCAGCAAGTACAAAAGCAACTGCTCAAACTTGCGCATGCAAAAAACAAAAAAATACGGTAACGTACAAAAAATCTGAATTTGAAAGAACCAGTGCTATGAAACAAAACAAATGCGTATAACCCCGATGTTCTGGAGCTACTGCGGATGAACAGTTACCTAACATTTATATGAAACATTGCATTTCATGCACTGATGCCGATTTACACTTGAAAACACACGGAGGCATCCGGTATCTTTGTATCAGTAATTGAAATGTAATATTTTCCGGAAGAATGCTAAGGCTGCAATTAGTAGTAGTTGACTCAAAACAGTCAGGTTATGCTTTATCCTATATCGCCTATATTCTTGGTCGGATAGTTTATAATTTTGTTGGTGCTCAAGAACGCCGTAGTCTAACCCAAATCAGAGAGTATTGGAGGTGCTTAAATACATGGAGCGGGGAGCTGCTCTAATGGTATCCTTATGCGTTACAAGCTTCGTTGCAATGACAAATGTCATTTTCATTTCAGATGGGTGGGTGAAGATGTGAGTTTCAGGCAGGCAGCATAATATAAAATTTCAACACATTTCCCCCAGAAATTACTGTAAGGTTGATACTGTAATTCTACAGTCAGGTTTAGAATTGGTTGTAGCTAATCCCATTAGACAAATGTGCCTTAATTGATATGTGAGCAATTTTGCCAACTTCGGTTAGAAGTTAGTTTCATCAACCCACGGCTTCAAATTTACGGCCAACCTTCACTTCGAAAAAAATACATTATTCCACTATTTCCCCTTGACATGCAATCTCTTACTTTCGTCGTTAACTACTCTCCGCGACCTAGACCCTGAAAATCAGGGTTATGTTCATGAAAGCTGCAAACACTGTATTGCATCCAGCACATAAATTCGCCAACTGATTACTACTGAACTGATATGATAACGAAAAGAGATAGCTTCATCAAAATTGTGGACGTTTTATCTTACAAAGCCGATAAAAGTGTCACACGAATCTAGAAATGGCTAAGAAAGTAAATAGTATAAAGCGATGACAGATTCATTACGCTTCACGAGCTACGTCTGCCCAGATGACGGGTATATTATAATTTCTGTGCTGTGCTTCGATGACTGAGAACAAAATCCAATTTTTCTATTTCGAGAAATTTAATGATCAACATACCAAAAGTCCCGCAGTGGAAAGTGTGCACTAAGGTCAAAATTCACTCCCTCCCCCTTGACAAACAGTTGCGTGGTCTATTTTCTCTGATAAACCAATCACTCAGATTTATATCCTATGAGCCCTCTTGCCTCGACGCATAATGAAAGTCAAATGACAGAACCACACACGGAATTACTGTTTTCTCCCACAGGCACGAATAAACTCAACAGCTGTGGAGATTAAGAAAATGAATGTGAACCTGATAGACAAAATGTTTGAAAATGAATTATTCACTTCAACCCATGAGCTCTTTGTGTGGGAGTTCACACAGGGCAGAACGTCGAGCAAGTGGCCAGTATACAATATCGAGGAACGATGTATAGGCAGATCTGTTGTCAGTGAAGAAATGTTCGTACTAAAATACAGTAACCTGATATCTTGTGGCTTGAGTATCGCACTTACAGTAAGAGGCGGTGTTAGAATATTTGTGCAAAAACAACTTGAGTACTTTTCTTAGACAAACAGACAAGTTTGGTCATAGTTTCCTAGCTGTTTTCGGTTCATCAGTGGGAGGAAGTTACTCAACATGGCAAACGAGTGGCCAACAAAAACATAAATTTGCAAAGCCAGTTGGCGAATGACTCTGAAATACCTGCGATTGCTGATTTAACTATATTACGTTATTGAAGTTGCGCAAGTTTGCTCGTGATTTACTGTGATATTTTTTCTGTACTTAAAAACTAATATCTTTATATAATCCGATTACAAACAATAAAATGATCGTAATGAGCTATTACTTGAAGAGCATCGAAAAGCTGTAAATAAAACAGACATCATAAACAAAAATGTACTGGTCATACATCGGACTCAAAGTGATGATCTACACAAACAAGCAATTCATGGTTCAGAGCAACGAAGATCAAATGACAATGTTATAATCCCCATCGGAAAAGCTTTCTGATGTTGCTAGTTCTCATTATCACAAAATACAAAAACACTTACACAATTAATTGAACATTTGACATATTTCCCTTAGGTAAGTTCACATATCAAGATCTTCAACGGTTTGTCAACACTGGTTCCTGGTCAAGTGTGTCTTACCATATCATATACCTTTGTAAAGAGGTCTGGCGACTGATATGCGGAAGCTAGACTTATAGAGCTGCCTCAAAAACTGCTTACTTGCAATATCCTGAAAAGTGGTCAGGTTGACGTCGAGAGACACGGCCGACTTTTTGAAGCAGGCCTTCAGCTGGAGACAGCTCTCCATGTTCAACAGGGTAATGTGCGGCTTGCTCCAACGAGCTCCTCCCTCCTCGACCGTTTCCTCGTATTTGATCCAACGAGACTTCTCTTCCCACATGTAGTGCATTTCATCCTTCTTTTGCAAGCACAGCATCTCGCAGAAGATCCGGTGATGCTGGTCGACGCCGTGCAACGTATCGTCGTTCTCCAGTACGCTGCGTAGCCTTTCTGCCAGCACTGAAGTACAGAAAGGGTTCAGAAAGACAAACAGACCTGTTGACGTGCATGCAAAAGGTTTACCTTGTCCAGAATGTCCGGCATGCACCGTTTGACCGGAATAGAATGAATCGACCAGGAAGTCGCCTGAAACAGGCGAAAACAGATATGAGTCTGTAGTCAAGTCTAATGCCCAGTCATACCTCGTCCGTCGACTAGCGTTGACTCCTTGCGGGAGGCAAAGTTCATGGACAACTTCCTAACGAACGAAGTCATGTCTTTAGGTGCCACCAATGGCAGATCACGTTCAAAAATGCAGCCGAGTATTAGCTATAACTGTATAAATATTACTGCCATGACTGGTAACGTTACGACGACGTAATCTAATGTTATCGATGAATTTTCTGGTAAGTTTTTGGAAGATGAATAGACGAATAAAACTAACTAAATAATCAGTCGAAAATGAGTCTTTAAAGTGTGTTTGAGGATATTTAGGCAACTTGATTCTGATCAGTAAATAGACTTTGACTTTCCATTACCTTCTGAAGTATTGAACATGCAAATAAAGGCAGCATGTCATGGTTTAGCATATGGTATGAACAAAGAGTTCAATAATGCTAAGGATATGTCAACTTTCGCTTATGGTTGAGCTTCAAGGTTTAATAGGTAAAACAGGTAGCACGTTCAGAATCCGTAGAAAATTGGGATGCCTGCGTACTTCTTTGCATTGCCGAGCACGATGCGAAACTACAGGAACATGCTTTTCCCAAAAGGACAGTTGACCCTGCGATTCCTGAACATGGAGACAAAGAAATGCAGCTGTATTAGGTAACCACATTAACAAAGCACCCGGAAACAACGACCTCATTCCAGGAGTATGACACTCATCTAGTAAATAGTGG